CACAAACTTGTACATAACTAATGTACCAAACATAAAATAAGATATACAATAATTGTATATATCCCTAAGATGTACATATACTGTACATATACTATATCATAAACTAATTTGTATAATGAAAAAAATCGAACCAAACATCAATTTTCCTGCACCCAACCAACCATCTCCCCCACCCATGGCAACGCCGCAACCCTTGACGAGGACGCCGGCGGAAATTGAGGACATCATAAAACCCTTCCAAATGGTTTGTGCTTGGAGTGCACTGGTTCGATGCAAGATTCGATTTTTCTACATCCAACCAATCATCTCCCCCGATCAATCCGAAGCCAAAACCCTCGACGAGGACGCCGATGGTAATTGAGGAAATCATCCTCCAGGATATTCCTCTTCTCCCTCGTCGACTCCATGGAGAACGATTCTGGATAACCTACCTGGAGATGACGAATGCGGGGATGGCTCAGAATCGCCCGAAAGACCAAACTAAAAGAAACGAAAATAAACATAAAAAAAATGGTAGAAACCAAACCACGCTGTCTTGCAGTCGCCGTCCTTACAAATTTGGCCGTAGCCACAGCCGCACAGGGCGACATAAAAATTCCCCTCGGCTGGCAGCCGATCAAGTACCGAAACGACGCGACGGTGGTGGGGTGGTGGAATTCGCGTTGACAGAGCAAAAACAATCGGTTTTTCTGTAGAGAGAAAGTGGGGTGCGATTTTTCTGCCGAGGGAAATGAGGTGCGGTTTTTAGTAAGGATATATGTCGTTCATAATTAATGATATAATCACACTTAATTTGCCCATAAATTCCTTAACTGAACATGCTGGTATATTTGTAATATTTTAGGTGTCAAATGGTAATTTTATAATAAAAACTAAAACATCTGTAAAAATTGTTATAAAATTACAATTGAATAGTAAGGGATGCAAATTCCTCTAAAAACAACTTACTGTCAACCAATATATGTAATACACAACAACAAATATGCTGATTCAGAACATCATGATTATTCAAACTAGTATGTAGCCCGTGGCGATGCACGGGGCAATAATTACGAATTGCATGCAATAAAACATGAAGAAATATTGATTAGTATAAAAATAATTTTGAATATGAATAATTACTTTTTATTTTATTTATGATATATAATAATTTAATATATTATTTATATGTTCATTTGTTTATAGTTGTCTTTTTATATCCTTTTATAATTAAGGATAATGAAAATTTAGCATATTCAAATATTATCAATAAATAATACTCACAGAATACTTATTTCTCTCTATCTTCTCTTACCCCTACATTGTACAATATATTCTTCAGTTTCTAAATACGTTAGGCTAAAGTTGAAAAATTGTGTCAAATATTATAATCAACACTTCATTGAAAAAGATTGTAATATATATTATTATGAAGTTAAAAATAATTATTAATTTTTAATTACATCAGTATTATATAATATTATAAATATTTTAATTTTTCTTTCTGATTTGTTAATTTATATGAGATTTGTTATGATACTGTGAATCTCAATATGAATTTTTAAAAAATTGGTTTGGTGGAGTTATTGATAAAATCAAAAGATTTTTTGGAACTCCTTGAATAGATAATTTTTTGTACATGGCTCATTACGAAATGAATATAAAATCGTACGGATTTGTTACTAATATTGAGATATCAATTCTATTATAGTATTGTGGTAGTTATATTAAGAAGATTTTTGCAATTAATTTTTAAATTTATTTTGTATTTATATTTTTCAATGTTCTCATGCATATTTCGGTCTATATATGACTGGATACCCAACAAAACAGGAGAAGACGTGATTTGTTATTAAAGATAAAGATTGGTAGTTATTAAAGATGAAAAATTAAATTTCTTTTGATATTTTAGAAAATTGGGTTTATAATTTTTGAAAAACTGAAACGGTTGAATTATTGATAAACTAAATGATTATAATCTAATCATCTTGATTAAATGATTTCTTGAAAATACAATAGAAAAATATAATGATTAAATCGAGATACAAAAAGAAAAAATTTGGTGTTCTGAAACCTCTTGGAATGTGTAGAGAATGCAGTGATTATGCAGTTGTACACGACCCAATAATAATTTTTTTTCCCTCATCCACCTGCACAACCCAACTTTTACAACCTAACTTATCTTTATCTACACCTTACTCAAACTAAAATATTTATTTTATTTTAATTTATAATATTATCTACAATTGATTTTATTTTATATGTGATAAATTAATTAAAAATCATAGTTAAAGTCGAAATGATTTTGAAAAATTAGTATTTTACCATACAGTTAAATAAAAATTGCGAAGCCAATTAAAAAATTTGGACAATTTTTAGAGCTCGACAAATTTTGAGAATTGAGATATTACTCAAAATTTGGATCCATAAGGGATTTGTTGGAAATTAGAAAAAATGAAAAGATAATAAAATTAATAAGATATGATTAGAAAAAGAGTGAAAAGAGAGAAATGTATTGTGTTCCAAATTTATCAAATGTAGTCTCTATCTATAGAGAATGAAAAATTAAGAATTTAATATTTTTTTTTAATAAATTATTGTAGATAATTTTAATTATCTATACCTTATCAAAAAATTGTCCCATCCAGTAGAAATGGGACAAGTGTCCTATCTCATCACTTAATATGGGTTGATGACCCATGTCAAATATAGGGTTCATTGCTAATTAGACTTTAACAATTCTAAACGATATTTAAGGGAAAAAAAAAAACAGTCGGCGCATCGAGCCATTGGCATCCAGAACTGTTGTTAGAATCGCGCAAAGATCCACTTCAAAAATAGCTCCCCAAACATCAATATTTCTTTCCACAAAAGCTTCCTTCTTTACTCTCTATAGAACCCTGAATTTATAACCAACCAATTCTCGGAGTCTCTGTTATAACTCTTCCTTATCTCCCTCAATTTCCGTGAGTACAGTCTGCACACGTGTCTAATTTTTCTATTATATTTCTTGTACATGTGAAGCCGTTGACTTGTCTTATCACAACCTCGTAAAAACTATAAAAAGATTTCAGGTCTTCAAATTCTGTGAGAGGAATCAAAGTTTGGGGAGAACGGTCGAGGCAACCATCAGTACCAGTATCGTTTGCCTTGGTAAGTTTTTCTCTTCCTTCGTTTTATTACTTTTTTTTTTTTTCCAAATTAATTATAATATTTTCAGGTCATTCCCTTTTTAGTTTTTCGGCTTTTCCTCGAACTTCCTGAAATCGAGTTTTTAGTCTGAATTAGTTCTCATAGGAGGATTTGTTGTGCTAGCTATACCTTTCTTACTGATTGACAGGACTCTATTTTCTTTAATTGATCTCTATTCGTGGAAATTACATTACTGCCGTATGCAATTTCCTATTTCATTCTGTGGGATTCAATATGCTCCTATTATTCTGTAAATTGTAAAAACAGAACACACACACACATAAAAAAAAAAAAAGGTTTATAGCATTTTATCTAGACGAATTTGAAGAGTTGTAAAAATTCTTGGACATAATAACTTCCCAAACTCTCTGCAATTGAACTTATCATGTCTTTGTGTATAACAAGTCTGCTACTCAAGGCAAATTGACACTAACCAAACATACAAATTTCCCTGTTACACTTCTATATATGAACCATCTGGATTTATTGTGAAGATGATAAACATTCATTGCACAAACAGGAGCTCGGTTAACGTTAAGTGAAAGAAACAGACAAGCATGTCAAGCAGTGGTTCGTCGAACACGAGATCTTATCACGGGCATGCAGCGGATAATAATTGCCACCGAAACTTGGAAGCAATGCTGCCACATAATTTGTACAATTCTGGTAGCTCCACTAATATTAATGATGATTCAGAACGTTCGTCTGCCACCTGTATTTCTCCCTCGTCATCACGGGGTATGGCAATTTCGGAAACTCATCCTACAAATTTGGTAGGTGGAGACAATTCCCGGATTCCCTTTTTGCCACATGAGATTATGATGTCTTCGAGATCGCCTTTAGGCTCGTCCTCAAATGATGAGGTGGCAGGCACACGAGTTCGGACAGGTTTGCAGTTTTCGGCGGAAGCGCCAGGTGGCCGTTTTAATGCTCGGGATGCTTCGTTGACTGATGAGGAGAGAGAGATTCTGGTATGTGGCCTTTATTAAATTTCCAATTGCCTTTTTTTTTTTTATATATATATATATATATAATGTTATTTTGTGGGAAGTTTTACTTGGTGAATAAAGCTAGTTTAGCATGTGTTTTGATATAATAAATGATATAAATGATGATGAAGAGTAAGAATTCATGATTTTGAAGTTGATGTGTTGTGTAAAACCACAGGAACTTGGGATGTGTAATGTTGTCTCAAAACTTTATGTTACTATAGTAATATTAATATTAATATTTGAGTTTGTCATATAGTAGTTTTTGAATTAATTATATTAATGTCACGGCACTGTTGTGAAACATTTTACATAATAAGGATTAGAGTCTCATCCTGTTTGTGTTTGTCATAGAAAAGTTTCAGTGGCGCACTCTTAATCACGTTAACAAGAAAATAGTTGAATGATTGGATTGGGAATTTGAGTGAAGCATTGTAAACTAGATTTGACTTCACTGTATCAGGATAAAAATGTTACTGATTATGATATTAATGAAGAAATTTCAACTTATTTATTTCATCTCCATCAATTTTGACATTTTGTTCTACTCCTGTGAATAGATTGATCAAGTCTTCAACCTGATGCAGATGGACGACCAATTTCTACCCGAGGTCTGCTTTAAAAAAGTTTATTCGAAATTCAATTTAATAAAACATTTTTATTTATCCAAAAATCAATTCCATAAGCGATGTTTCTGTCTGACCAATTGAGACAAAGAATGTGATATCTAGAGTTGGGCACGAAATGAATAATTCTAAAAGTAAAATGATTTCTCACTTTCTTTCCTCATCTTTTTCCAGGATAATATACCTACTGATCCTTATGTGAGTAGATATGGTGAGTCGCGCGACATATACAGAGACATGAGACTTGATATTGACAGTATGTCATATGAGGTAATTTTTTAGTTTGTTTTGCAGTAAATATATTGGGTCCTTCACATTCTGTGATTTTCAAAAAACATTTGGTTAACAGGAATTGCTGACCTTGGAGGAAAACATAGGGAATGTGAATAGTGGCGTGAGCCGCACAAAAATAAGAGGCTCTATGAGACAATGGAAATATGCCGTGCCAGACTTGAAGTTGTGCTGCATATGTCAGGTTAAAGCCATGTACTTCTCATTTCTTTATTTCTTTATTTCTTCTTTGTATGTGATTGAACATCTTTTCATGGATTCATTATATAACGACGTTGAAATTAGTTAATAAAATTTGAAACTATTTTATCACACATTATGTTTTGCTATTACCTGAAATAATAAGTCAAAGTTAAAACGATCAGTTTTCTAGCATAACGGTTTCATTGGAGTTTATTATTTATTGGTTGCTTGGTTTGGATGATTCTCGGTGAAAATATAGATTTTTTATGTATGTTATTTTATTTTTGCTTGCTGATCAGGAGGATTACGCTGCTGGAGATGATGCCGGGAAACTCGATTGTGGTCATGAGTTTCACACGGGTTGCATTGAACGGTGGTTAGTACTGAAGAATGTATGCCCCATCTGTAAAGTGACGGCCATTGGAACTTGACGAAGTCTTTTTCTGGCTGGAGGGCAGAACGGTCAAATCCTCCAAAATCATTCTTAGAAGTTAGAACCTTGCAGGTTTAACATTAATGCTTGTTTGTGTTCTTATAGCAAAGAGTACAATAACTGAGATTGTAAATAGTACTAGGAAATTTAAAACTTTGTGATTTTATATAACTTTTGATTTCAACATGTGAATTAAGAGAAAAGTAAAAATAGGAGGTTGATTATCAGTTTTGCTATGGAGTCCTCCAATAAATATACATTGGACATGTGTCAATACATTAAGTGGTATATGACTCCATAGAATTTTTGGGTTGATTATATAGTTGTATTGATCAATCTTAGTATATGATGATGATTCAGGGCCTCAACTCGGTACAATATTTGATATTTAAATTATATTTTTGGAAACTGTTTAATTGC